AGCAATAGGTGGGTGTGGCCGGATGGCCACACTTCTGGTAACATGGGGGTGTGGCCTAATATGCGAATGAGCTGTGCTGTCAGGGTGTGGCCTAATATGCTAATGAGGCCCTGCTGTTGGGTGTGGCCTATTATGCTAATGAGTTCTTGGTGGGCTTTTTCTACAAAAAGAAGCCCTGGTTCTGTCAGAGCTGTTCTATCAAGGATAGAGTTCTCTCCGCCCCACCCTCCTCACAGAGCGTCTGCTGTGGGGAGGGTAGTGAAGGGCAGGGTCTAAATCCAATCTCTTCTCCTCTTCCACTGAGGTCCGTCCCCAAACCTCACCTTTCCCGGGGGTCCATCCCAAAATCTCCAGGAATCGCATTACCTGGAGTTGGCAATCCTAAAATGAGCCACAAACACATGGGAAACATGGCAAGGCTGAGCAAAACGTGGAAAATACCGTACGAACAGAAGCAAAAAAAAGAAGAAGAGAAGAGATTGGATTTATACCCCGCCCTTCACTTGGAGTCTCAGAGCGGCTTACAGACTCCTTTCCCTTCCCCTCCCCACAACAGACACCCTGTGAGGTGGGTGGGGCTGAGAGAGCTCTGACAGAAAACGCTCTTTTCCAAGGACAGCTCTGACAGAGCTTGTGACTGACCCAAGGTCACACCAGCAGCTGCGAGTGGAGGAGGAGTGGGGAATCAAACCCAGTTCTCCCAGATTAGAGTCCGCACACTTAACCAACTACACCAAACTGGCTCTCCAATTCAAATATACTACTCCAGTTCAAATATACTCCAATTCAAACCCCAATTCAAATACACTACTATAGCTTAATTAATTAATTAAATCATATACTTATCGTATACGATAAAGACCCTGGTTTAACCTGAATATTACAATTCACAACAATAGTATAGAGCAGGGGTCTTGAACTCATTTGTTACAAGGGCCAGTTCTGACATAAATGAGACCTTGTTGGGCCGGGCCACGTGTGTCATAAAAGGTAATGCCAGGTAGCGGAGAGATAAAATTTATAAAGGACAGAAACACAAAGGGTTTTTTTCACTTTAAATAAGAACATGCTTAAAACATTAGCGCTCTTGCAATATTTTGTTTTTAGGAGCTGCGATGGCTCTCAAGTGGTTAAGACGCTGAACTGCAGGCTGTAGAAGGTCAGTAGTTCAGCAGTTCGAGACCCGTGTGCCGCATGACAGAGTGAGCTCCCGTCTCTAGTTCCAGCTCCTGCCAACCTAGCAGTTCGAAAGCAAGAAATTGCAAGTCTTTCCCAGCATCAGGGTCTTCTTCTCCAGGGAGTGCTCCCTTCTCATTGGGTGGCCAAAGTATTTGAGCTTCAGTTCCATTATCTGGCCTTCCAGGGAACAGTCAGGGTGGATTTCTTTTAGGATTGACTGATTTGATCTTCTTGCAGTCCAAGGGACTCTCAAGAGTCTTCTCCAGCACCCTAGTTCAAAAGAATCTATTCCAGGTACTCTGGCCCAGAAAAGCACCACTCTCTACTAAGTGCCGCCCTGGGCAGGAGCCTAGTCTGCTAGGCCAACCCTCTGCCGAGCACTGCCACCACCCCCTATAGATGGGGAACACTGCTGCCACCACCTCTCTCCACCCACCTCGGGCCCTGAGGCTGTATCGAGGGGGCGGCAAGGAACTCTAGTTACACCACAGCTGATTCGGGGAATCTTCTCAGTGAGGACAGCAGTATTCCCTCGCTCCTGGTTGGCTTAAGTCTTGCTACTGCTGGGGCTCCATTTCCTTCAGAAGCTCCCTTGTCCCTAAATCAGGGGCCAGAGACCCAGAGGGGGGGCGCATGGAACTCCAGGGAGCAAGGGAGGGGGACCTGCAGCCAGCCTCCCCCCCCAAATACCCATTTAGAACATTTTTATCTTGCCCTTTCCTCCACGGGGCTCTGAGCGGTGTACATGATGCCTCCCTTCCTTGTCCAGTCCTCACAACAGCCCTGCAAGGTAGGCTAGGCCGAGGGAGACTGATCGGCTCGAGGTCACCGGCAGTGTTCCCCCTAAGATGAGTCAGTGTGAGCCAGCTCACAGTTTTTTTACCCTCCGGCTCACACATTTCTGTCTGAGCTCAGGAAGGGACGGGGCTCCGGAGCAAACGGATTGATGCCGTCGCCAAATCGCTGCCTCACAACTTTAATGCCAGGAGCTCACCAAGTAGAATTTTGGCTCACAAGACGCCACCGCTTAGGGAGCACTGGCCACCAGCAAACCTCATGGCAGAGTGGGACTTGAGCCAGGGTCTCCAAAGCGCTGCGCTACACAAACCGTGGATGCTTCAGAACGGAAGAAAGTGTCAGGAAACTCCCGGTCACAACAGTCTGCGCCCCAGCTTCTTACACCTGCCCAGGTGGAGGATTACAGCAGGCAGTTTGGAAGCCATAGATCTAGAATCATACAGTTGGATGGGGTCATCTAGTCCCACCCCCTGCACAATGCAGGAGATTCACAAATCCCTCCAGGGGTCGTTTCGTAGAAAAAGAGCTAGGGGAACTCATTAGCATAACTTATTAGCATATGCCACACCCCCTGCCATCACCGGAAGTGTGTCATAAGGCCACACCCCCCGCCCCCAACGGTTCCGTCCGCCGGCGCCGGCCTTGCAGCTCCACTGCCGAGCCCCATGAGGGGCCCGGCGGTGGACCTGCAAGGCTGGCGGGAGTGCGAGGAAGCCCCGCGAAGGCCCTCCCTGGCCCCAGGCAGGCAGGGGTGGGGAGAGGCAGGGAGGAAGCAACTTACCCTCCCTCTTCTCCTGCCTCCTCCTGGCTGAATGAGGGCTGGAAGCGGGGCGGCCGGAAGCGGGGCGGCCGGAAGCGGGGGGCAGGGCTTTGTCATGTGCCCCACCCCCGTACCTCACCCGGGGGAACTGCGATCCCCCATGATCCCCCTCTGATTTTCCCCAAGTCGCAACATTTGTTTAATATTTAGATCAGGGTGGTCTGGTTCCTGCTATGGCCTGTGTGCCTTTCATAGGGTACCACCTGGAGGTGGCACCTGGAGAGATGACCAAGATCAGTTCTGCTGAAGAAAATGGCCACTTTGGAGGGTGGACCCTATGGGCACTGTACCCTGCTGAAGTCCCTCGCCTCCCC